CGGCATTGATTTACATAGTGACACCCTTTATGACAGCGTGAGCAAATTCCAGGTGCTTCCCTTTTATTATTTGCTTTTATATTCAGACAGTCTTTTTTCAAATGGCCATACTGACCGCACAAAAAGCACTGCTGTGACTTAACCAACAATGCTGCAAATGCTTCTGCAATCAGAGACCAATCATGTTGTCTAAACCAGACATTCATACAGGCATTTAACATATCATCTATGCTCAGATGCCACAATACTTTCTGACAGTCAGGGTTAGCATTCTCAATAGCAAGTTGTTTGAAAATATATTCACGTGCTTTCTCATTATCAGTCTGTTTCTCCAGAGCCTCATTAAGTCGGTCTAAAAACTTCATAAACGGCTCATTTGCCTCTTGTTTGATTTGGACAAAAGGCTGTCTTTGTTTACCAGCGTCAGGGACAGTTTTCAAAACCCACAGTGCTAATTGTTTAACTTGCTGCAAGCCCACCTGGCAAATCCTAGCTTGTGCAGCATTGGTGCCAAAATCAGCTTGACCCAGCAATACATCGGCAGTAACCGCTCGCAGTGGGTCACACATCCTCAATGCTAAGTTTTCAGCAGCCTGGGCACCTGCGAGCTGCCTCATTTTTGATTCCCACATAGTATATTGCATGTCCGTCATTATCAAATGAAACGACGTTTTGAAATCATCTGGTATAAATACATGAGTATCATAGACAGATTGTATCAAATGAGTTCTATATGGGGGCCCGAGTCCATGGTCCATCACCATTCACCTGATATCTTTCATAAGAGCATACGAGAGACCTTCCCACCGTGTGCCTTGATCCAGCACATACACCACCAGGAAAGCACACAATACATCTGCATCCCCTGCCCATCCCGCTTCCCCTTTTACAGCTACCTATATATCACGAGGGTTTGGGGGATATAAATCAGGCTCCTTTTTCAGATCCATAGGCCCCAGGTCAAAAGGACCATCCAAGTCATCATAAGAATTATCAGGAGACAGAACCACAGGAGCAACAACAGCAGACTGATGTTTTGATCTCATGGCAGAGTCTGTCAAAGAGGGTGGTGGTAAGGGAGCCGAAGGTGCTGCTTCTGCTGCCTGTGCTTGTGAGCTGACATGAACTTTTACAATTTCAGAAATAGTTCGCCAAGGGCTCAATAAAGTGGCGGCAACTTTATCATTGTTTGTAGCACAGTCCCACAAATTAATACCAATTTTATCCCAAATCTCCAGGGTATAAATATTAGTGGAATTAATAGATGGATCAACTTTTGATGCCCAGAGAAGGATACATTTCAATTCTTCCTTATCAACTTTTTTCCCATACTGCCTAAGAATTATAACAAAACCTTCTAGAACATTTCCTTGCTCTTTTGTTAAAGCAGACCCCATAATTCTCAGCTACTTACCCCCGTCCTGCGAGAGGCAATCCACGAGGTTTGAATTTGCTTCCTTTCAGTGTACACTTTTGCTTACTTTCAGCAAGCAGTTCGGCTGAGCCACGCCACCGGATCGATGACTAGTCACTTTTCATGCCCCACATGGTGGGCGCCATTTGTGGCATATCACAACACGGAATCAAGTTGATGCAGAGACTCAAATCCAACTTTATTACAGCCAAGCCCTTTTTATTCCCCTGTTCGGTACTTTCCCAGCCTGCGCATACATACAACGTTCAATCTCATTGCCCCCTGTAAAACTCTCCAGGTAAATAGTCCTATCACAGTATTGCTGACCCTCTCACAACCCCCACATCCTCTGGCCTTCAATGCACCAACTCATAGCCCCAGGGATTGTCAAAGCACCAAGCCCTCAGAGCTCATTTCCAAACTGTTCTTCATGCAAATCTTATCACCTTCACTCCCCACAGGGCTGTACCACCCCTCCAACATATATCAGGATGGTTTAAGTCCCCCATTAGGACAAGGGCCTGCCAGCGTGAGGCTGCTCTTATCTGTCTATAGGGTGCTTCATCCAGAGAGTCCTCCTGATCAGGCGGTCTGTAACAGATCCCCACAGTAATGTTCCCGATTGCTGTTCTCCCTTTGACACTGACCCACAAACTCATTGTTGGCTGATCACCTGTCCCCAGAGTTGCATACTCTCCAGCCTGTCACTGACATAAATAGCTACTCCCCCTCCCCATCTGCCTGGACTGTCTTTTCTAAAGAGCCTATAACCTTCCATTCAAACGCTCCAATCATAGGAGCCATCACACTATGTTTTGTGATAGCAATGATATCATATCCCTGTAGCTGTGCACTCATCTCTAATTCCTCTTGTTTATTCCCCATACTACAGGTGTTTGTATAGAGGCATCTGAGACAATCTCCAAATGAAGCTGACTCATTGGCTGGAGCAGCTGAAATATCTCTGCATCGCTCCAATCATTTATTATAGGTGCTGGCAACTGACTGGGAGTGCTGGGATGGATTGATTCCCCCCCTTCCCCAACACACCTAGTTTTATAGCTGCCTTGACCAGCCTGGCAAGCCTCTTACCAAAGCAGCTCTTCCCCTTTGTCAGACCAGCTCCACCAGCCTCCAGTAGACCTGGGCTCCCAAATCAAGTCCCATGTTCTAAATAACCAAACCCCTGACTATGGCACCACCATTCTAACCATTTATTAACCTGCCAAATCCACATGGCCTTTTTAAGGTCCTCCTCTTTGACCTGGAGAACTGATGAAAAAAATATCTGAGCTCCAGAGCCCCTAACCACCTCTCCCAGGGCTCTGTAGTCCTCCAGGCTACTGCTGTCTATGTCACTAGCACCCACATGGACCACAAGAAGTGGGTAATAGTCAGCAGGACTTACTAGGCCAAGTAGCCTCTCAACAACATCCCTGATCTGAGCCCCTGGTAGGCAACACACCTCCCTTGAGACTGGGTCAAGCCGACAGATGTCGTGCCAGATGTCATGCCAGAAAAGTGCCTTTTTGCCTTTCAAAGTAGAGTCCCCTACTACTATGACTCACCGCTTTTTCCTGGAGGCACTAGTACTGATCCTCTGTGCTGGTACATCAGCTGGTTACTCATTTGGTGAGGTGTGCCTTTCCTCCTTAGTCCCCTGCAGAACTGCGAAGCTGTTCTGAGTGGGTACATCAAATTTAAGAGGAAGCCTCTCGCTTTTAATTGTCCTCTTCCTCTTTGTTGGCTTTTTTTGTTACTAGTTCCCAGCTTCCTGGGTTAATGCCCTCCTTCTTTTCTGTATGAGCTATGATGGACACTTGTGGCCCCTGCACAGTTTGGGCCTGGGGCAAGCAGTCCAGCTCCCTCTCGGCTTCCCTGGTATCTCTTAGCTCACTGACAGTCTCCTGCTGCCGGAGGACCTCCACCAGGGCGCACCGAGTTGAGCTCTGCCCATTTGGTACCCTTGTCTCAAGAGACAATTTGAGGCACATTCTACACTCCGAGGTCTGCACTGCAGCCTCCCTCTCATCAGCTCTGTCTGGGTGCTGATGCTGGCCACCTTTGGGGCAGTCAGAGCAGAGCTCTCAGGCTGGGCCCTGGCCCTGAGGCGAGTGCTCACCATCCTGCTCGCTACCCACTCACCCTGCCTGCACGAACTGCTGCGCCACGCCCTGACTACCCTCACACTCCTGGTTGCTCACACTCCCTGGGATGGGTTTTTACCTGTTCAGGGCTAGTGCCTCCTGGTGCCACCCCCTGTGAATCAGCTGCTCACATCAGCTGAGCTGCCACCTCCTGGGCAAGTCCTGTCGAGGACTTGAGGCTCCCTTGGTGGCTCTTGCCGGTCAGAATTGAGGCTCCTGGACGTTGTGTTTCCCCCCACTCTGGTGTTGGAGGTGTCCTCTCTGGAGCTACTCACCTCGGCAATTTCAAGTCTCAAAAAATATGTTTCTTTTTAGTTCATTTCTGTAGTTAATATCACTTGCACTGTAGAACTGCACTCTCCCCCTCTACTCCACTCTTGTGAGACCCCACCTGGAGTACTGCATTCAACTCTGGGTCCCTCAGAGCTGAACATGAGAGGGATGTGGACCTGCTTGAGTGAGTCCAGAGGAGGGCCACAAAGATGATCAGAGGGCTGCATCACCTCTCCTCTGAAGACAAGCTGAGAGAACTGGGCTTGTTCAGCCTGGAAAAGAGAAAGCTCTGGAGACACCTTATAACAGTCCTCCAGTACCTAAAGGAAGCCTACAAGAATTCTGCTGAGGGACTTTTTACAAAGACTTGTAGTAACAGGATATGGGGGAATGGCTTTAAGCTGAAAGAGAGTAGGTTTAGATTAGACATTAGGAAAACATTCTTTATGGCGAGGGTGGTGAGACACTGGAACAAGCTGCCCAAGGAAGTTGTGGCTGCCTCATCCCTGAAAATGTTCAAGGCCGGGTTGGATGGGGCTTTGAGTAACCTGGTCTAGTGGAAGGTGTCCCTGCCCATGGCAGGGGGGATGGAACTAGATGATCTTTAAGGTCCCTTCCAACCCAAACTATTCTACAATTCTATGATTCTATGAAAGTTGATTTAAAATATGTTCAAGTCACAATTCAAAATTAATAACTTTGTTCCACTGCTTGGGAGATTTTCTTGGGAATTTGAGTGTTGTAAAATATCTCCAGTGTTTATTTTCCAGAATTAATTTAATACCTTGTAGTGTTAAAGCAAAGACTATGCTGTTGTGGATTAATACCATGAAGCTGCAAAGAAGCTATTTCAATATGTGACTGATAAATTTATAATAATCTGATCATCTTGATTAAAAAAATGATGATATTGTAATTGTTAGTGTAAGCAAAAAAACCTAAACAATTTTAGAAATAAGATGACTTTTGAAATGCTAATTTATACTTAAATGAGAACTGTGGCACTACAAATCCATTTTTAAGAACTTGCATTTAACTGTTTAGATTATACAGTCATGTTCAGTGGCAATTATATCATGAGTGTACCTGACCTTACAAACTGAGAAGAGCTCTGCCACTGGAAGTTACATATGAAATGTGAAATTATTCAGTTATCTTTGTTTTAGGAGTTGGCCCGGGTAATAATGACAATACCCTGTTATCAGCTGTTGCTAGTGCTTTGCACACCAGTTCTGCACCAATCACGGGGCAGCTCTCTGCAGCTGTTGAGAAGAACCCAGCTGTCTGGCTTAATACATCTCAGCCTCTCTGCAAAGCTTTCATAGTCACGGATGATGACATTAGGTAAGTTTCGTAAAGTCTTCAGTAAAATGAAAAGCAAGTTCAATTAAAGTAGATTCCTTCCTGGCTCAGTGCAGTCCTGGAAGAGAGGTATGAACATTTTTCTTTTACCTGTTGATTAGTTCAGTAACTTAAAAAATGGATACCTGTTTTTTTTCTTTCTGGTCAAAATAGTAATATCAAATATTCACTAAGGTATGAGTCATAATACATATTTTCTTTCCCAAGAGAGTGCCCTAAACATTAAGCTGTAGTCCTTTCTTCCTTCCTTTCTGTTTTGGCTTTCTTCCTTCCCATTTCTGTTTTGGTCAAATTAATTTGTTGATCTCAGTTAAAAAGTAAGTAACTTCAACAAAAGAGAATAAGAATGTTCCCTTATAGCATATAGCTTTGTGACTAATATGCTCTCTTAAAGTGGGAGATTGGGATATGATATGAAGAGCACAGATAGATCTGTTAACATATGGGCAAAGATTTTGGTTTTCTAATAGGTGCGCTGTTAATTTTCTTTTCAAAAAAATGACTCATCCTTTATAACAATACTAAAAGCAAGGGCTTCAGCACTGAATTTCAAGGTTAGGACTGAGTGAAGAGAGATTTCTAAAGGATGAGGGTTGTGTCTTGCTCAGAGGAAGGCTGAAAAGAGCATGTGGCCAAGGACCTGCTAAGCAGTGAGTGATGTGGCAGGGGAGGTGAGAAGGATCAACATAGTATGCTGCTGTGTGGGAGCTCCATTGCCAGGATGATGCTGTGGAGCTGAAGGGCTGAGGGCCGGGAGCGAAGAGTGGGCACTCATGGGCAGCATGCTTGCTTTCCCTGGCAGCACTGCTAACCCTGCTGACTTAATGGGCTAAAGTAGCTTTACCTAATACTTCTGTGATAAACTAGCATAAGAAGTCAAATTAATCAAATTGAATGCAGATACACTAAGTCCTTGAGTTTTACTTCATGAGATGAGCACTTTTATTACTAGTGTTTTCTTGCTGTTGGTTCTTAAATATTTGCTCTTGGTAGTTCATGTGCTTTAAAAGTCATATTACTTGTATAAAAAGAGCTGTGTTTTTAATACTTAAAAGCTCTTTTTGCTAGAAGACCAAACTCTTCAGGACTGGGAGTGCTGGGAGGTATTTTTTGGTTGTTGCTCCCTGGAAGATCAACTAGCTGGCTGAAAATTTGGAAATGAAGTAACTGGGGAAAGCTTTGTCTTCACATGAGTTTGGGAAGCAAGACCCAGGAGTATCCTCTGGAGAAAGCCTCGTATGCTGTAAATAGGGAACCTGGGCCCTTAATAACAGAAGCTAGTCTGAGATATAGAAAACTAGCTGTCACTTCTGTGTACTGTGATAGTTAAATACTGCAGTCATATGTCCAAGATGGTAGGAAGGGGCTTGTTACAAATCATACTAATGATAATGATTCTGAAATCTATCACAGGCTGATGTTATGCTTCAGCATGTTTTTCAAAACTTCATCAACATAGTTAAGTACATTTAAAAGAAGATCTCAAATAAAGGGGCCTAATGAGGTGGTAAAGCTCATGGTTGTTTTGTGCCCAGCTCCTCAATATCAAGATACTTGCTGGCCTTTATGTTATATTCCATGTCTGAACAACAGACTCACTGAAGAGCAAAGCAGAGAAGGACCTTATAGCACCAATAAAGAAAGGATGTTTCAGATTAACTTCTCATGTGCTTTCTGGCGAGTGCATTCTCTGATATACATTGGTGTTATGAAGTACTCACAGCCTGGAATGGGCCTCCTTTCTCTCCCAGCTCAGCTGTTCATGGCTTGATTTAGGTTACTGAGTGGGCAAGGTTGTCTAAATGCCCTGTGACTTTTTTGACAAAAGAAGGATTGATGATTTCCCATATCTTTGCTGGATATGTAATGCTTCAGGGCTTTGCCAGGACATACACTTAAAATGTCCTGTGACTAGAACCATGATCAAGGAACACTTATATTTCATTCTTGATCCATTCTTTGTAAGAGTAGGGAAGTGTCCTTATTGTGTTTTCACACAGTATCACAGTATGCTAGAGATTGGAAGGGACCTCGAAAGATCATCTAGTCCAATCCCCCTGCCGGAGCAGGAACACCTAGATAATGTTACACAGGAATGTGTCCAGGCGGGTTTTGAATGTCTCCAGGGAAGGAGACTCCACAACCTCCCTGGGCAGCCTGTTCCAGTGTTCCGTCACCCTCACTGAGAAGAAGTTTCTTCTCAAGTTTAAGTGGAACCTCTTGTGTTCCAGTTTGTACCCATTACCCCTTGTCCTATCATTGTTTGCCACTGAGTAGAGCCTGGCTCCATCCTCGTGACACTCCCCCTTTATATATTTATAGACACTTATAAGGTCACCCCTCAGTCTCCTCTTCTCCAAACTATAGAGACCCAGCTCCCTCAGTCTTTCCTCATAAGGGAGATGCTCCACTCCCTTAATCATCTTCGTTGCCCTGCGCTGGACTCTCTCCAGCAGCTCCCTGTCCTTCTTGAACTGAGGGGCCCAGAACTGGACACAATATTCTAGATGCGGTCTCACCAGGGCAGAGTAGAGGGGAAGGAGGACCTCTCTCAACCTACTAACCACCCCCCTTCTAATACACCCCAGGATGCCATTGGCCTTCTTAGCCACAAGGGCACAGTGTTGGCTCATGGTCATCCTGTCGTCCACTAGGACCCCCAGGTCCCTCTCCCCTACACTGCTCTCTGTTTTGTTTAGTTCATTGGAATTTTCTTTGCATTCTGAAGGGGAGCTTTATAAAGATATTCCAGCTGCTTTCTTCTCTCTGATTTGATCATTCAGGTGCTTTTTTAAAAATGCTGTAGTTAAGTGTCATCATAGCCTAAATTACCCTGAGTAAGGAACCACCAGGAATCTAGGGAAGGGATCTGCTGGTGTAAATAGCTACTGACTGTAGTTTCACAGAATCACAGAATACCAAGAGTTGGAAGGGACCTCAAAAGATCATCTAGTCCAACCCTCCTGCAAGAGCAGGGTAACCTAGGAACTTGTCCAGGCGGGCCTTGAATATCTCCAATGTAGGAGACTCCACAACCCCCCTGGGCAACCTGTTCCAGTGATCTGTCACTCTCACAGTAAAGAAATTTTTCCTGATGTTCACATGGAACCTCCTATGCTCCAGTTTACACACATTGCCCCTTGTCCTATCACTGGACATCACTGAAAAAAACCTAGCTCTATCATCCTGACACTCACCCTTTACATATTTGTAAACATTGATGAGGTCACCCCTCAGTCTCCACCAAGCTAAAGAGACCCAGCTCCTTCAGCCTCTCCTCATAAGGGAGATGCTCCACTCCCTTAATCATATTTGTGGCTCTGCGCTGGACACTTTCAAGCAATTCCCTGTCCTTGAACTGAGGGGCCCAGAACTGGACACAATAATCCAGATGCGGCCTCACCAAGACAGAGTAGAGGGGGAGGAGAACCTCTCTTGACCTACTAACCACACCCTTTCTAATGCACCCTAGGATGCCATTGGCCTTCTTGGCAGCAAGGGCACATTGCTGGCTCATGGTCATCCTCCTATCCACCAGGACCCCCAGGTCCCTTTCCCCTTCACTACTGTCCAGCAGGTCAACCCCCAACCTGTACTGGTACATGGGGTTGTTCTTCCCCAGATGCAAGACTCTATACTTGCTCTTGTTGAATTTCATCAAGTTTCTCCCTGCCCAACTCTCCAGCCTGTCCAGGTCTCGCTGAATGGCAACACAGCCCTCTGGTGTGTCAGCCACTCCTCCCAGTTTAGTATCATCAGCAAACTTGCTGAGGGTACATTCAGTTCCCTCATCCAGGTCATTGATGAAAATATTAAACAGCACTGGTCCCAGCACTGACCCCTGAGGGACTCCACTAGTCACAGACCTCCAGCTAGATTCTGCCCCATTAACCACAACTCTCTGCCTTCTTCCTTTCAACCAGTTCTTGATCCACCTCACTACCTCATCATCAAGCCCACACTTCCTTAGCTTATCTATGAGGACGCTGTGGGAGACAGTATCAAATGCCTTACTGAAATCAGGAAAAACCACATCTACCGCTCTACCATCATCCATCCACCTAGTTACTTCCTCATAGAAGGCTATAATTTGAAGCATGTTGTGATGGAGTTTGTAGGCTGTAGGTTGTGGAAAGACCCCACTGTCTTAAAGTCAAAATTCTAAAGCCAGAAAGAGGAAAAAAAAATATACTTCAACTATTTTTTCATAACCTTTGGCCAGTTCACAATGTATTCCAACAGTGAGATGTTAACAATGTTTTATTACTGATTAAAAAAAAACACCCAAGTATTTCATCTTATATGTGCTCTTGGGATTATTTTCATTCCATTAACAGATACTGAATTTGCTACTCTAACTTTTATTTCTCCTTTGTCACGGGTTCTGCAAAAGATAAGGCATCTTTGGTTTTGTTTGGTTCTGTGCCGTGGGGTTTGAAAGATCACTCTAGGCATTGAAAGTTAACAGCTCTGGGACAGTGAGCTGTATACTGAAGATAAAAATCAAGGATAGAAAACAGCTGGAAGATAGAAAACATGTTCTCTACTAAACTGCTAGCTTGTTCTTTTGGGCTTTTTGTTTCCCTTCATTTTGATATCTCTGTAAGCAGACAGCCTAATAGATTGAATGCGCCCTCAGAAAGTTTGACGATGACACCAAGCTGTGTGGTTCGGTTGATACACTGGAGGGAAGGAATGCCATCTGGAGGGACCTTGACACGCTTATGAGGTGGGCTGATGACAACCTCATGAAGTTTAACCATGCCAATTGCAAGGTCCTACACCTGGGTCGGAGCAATCCCAGGCACAGTTACAGGTTGGGCAGAGAAGAAATTCAGAGCAGCCCTGTGGAGAAAGACTTAGGGGTATTGGTTGATGAGAAAATTAACATGAGCAGGCAGTGTGCGCTTGCAGCCCAGAAAGCCAACCGTATCCTGGGCTGCATCAAAAGGAGTGTGACCAGCAGGTCGAAGGAGGTGATCCTGCCCCTTTACTCTGCTCTTGTGAGACCTCACCTGGAGTATTGTGTACAGTTCTGGTGTCCTCAACATAAAAAGGACATGGAACTGTTGGAACAAGTCCAGAGGAGGGCCACGAGGATGATCAGGGGACTGGAGCACCTCCCATATGAAGACAGGCTGAGGAAGTTGTGGCTGTTCATCCTGGAGAAGAGAAGGCTGTGTGGAGACCTCATAGCAGCCTTTCAGTATCTGAAGGGGGCCTATAGGGATGCTGGGGAGGGACTCTTCATTAGGGACTGTAGTGACAGGACAAGGGGTAACAGGTTAAAACTTAAACAGGGGAAGTTTAGATTGGATGTAAGGAGGAAATTTTTTCCTGTTAGGGTGGTGAAGCACTGGAATAAGTTGCCCAGGGAGGTTGTGAATGCTCCATCCCTGGCAGTGTTCAAGACCATGTTGGATGAGGCCTTGGGTGATATGGTTTAGTGTGAGGTGTCCCTGCCCATGGCAGGGGTGTTGGAACAAGATGATCTTAAGGTCCTTTCCAACCCTAACTATTCTATGATTCTATGTTTCTATGATTCTATACGGCTGAATAGATAGGTAGGAGTAATTAAATAAACAATGGAAATGGTGAAGTTCCTTGAGGTTCTTCCACTGCACATGTATTGTGTAGGACTTGAAGTTGGTTCTTTGAGCTCTTAGAAACCTACTCAGTGCCCCACCATCCTGTAGAGGTGCTCCTGGTGTACACACCCTTACACAAGGAAAGAGGGAGATTGCCTCCGATCTCCTTTACAATGCTTGTGACAGGAATCTCCTGCTGTGATTTTCAGTGATCTACCCTAAAGTGTATCTGCCAAAAAAATAAAAAGGAAAAAGAAAAAAGCCAGTCTAGTAAAGATAGCCCAGTGGGAAACTGCTCCATTAACTTTGTGTTTGGTCTTTTCAAGTATCTAATCTGAGAGTGGAAGATCATACATCACATTCAATACTTCTGTCACTGTGTGAGGGAAAGGAAACCATGCATGCTAAACCAGAGTGGGTTTTGGCTCAGAGTGCTCTCATTTTAGTGCCTGAATATGTGCAAAGGTAACAGAACTAGTCAGTAAGGGTTTAAAGAGGTGGTCGATGACCCAAGCATTTGGACAATGCCCCTAATAATATGCTTTAACTTTTGGTGAGCCCTGGAGGGGTCAGGCAGTTGGACTAGATAATCATTGTAGGTCCCTTCCAACTAGAACTATTCTATCATATTCTGTTCTCAGTTAAAATAAGAGTTGAGAAACCAGTCCTGAGTCATTGTTGGAAGTATTATGCTCTCAACCTACTAATACACTTGAAGGACTGACATTTCTACCCCTTCTTCCCTTATCTCCCTTCAGAAAACAAGAAGAGCGGGTGCAACAAGTGCGTAAAAAGCTGGAGGAAGCACTAATGGCAGACATTTTGTCACGAGCAGCTGATACAACAAAAGATATAGATGTAAAAATGGATAATAGAGATGAAGTATAAAAAGCAATCAGGTAAGTCCAATCTCTGAGATTTTGCTGTCTCAGCAGTCAGTTGGTGGACAGCAGTGTACCACACACAAGCAGTCCTGCTTTCTCACCACACACATTAGCTGACATGCCCTCTATCAGCAGAACACAAGGGTGATTTTGCAGATATAGATGTGAACAACCTCACATTAAATGCTACAGTATCACAGTATGTTAGAGATTGGAAGGGACCTCGAAAGATCATCTAGTCCAATCCCCCTGCCGGAGCAGGAACACCTAGATAATGTTACACAGGAATGCGTCCAGGCGGGTTTTGAATGTCTCCAGGGAAGGAGACTCCACAACCTCCCTGGGCAGCCTGTTCCAGTGTTCCGTCACCCTCACTGAGAAGAAGTTTCTTCTCAAGTTTAAGTGGAACCTCTTGTGTTCCAGTTTGTACCCATTACCCCTTGTCCTATCATTGTTTGCCACTGAGTAGAGCCTGGATCCGTCCTCGTGACACTCCCCCTTTATATATTTATAGACACTTATAAGGTCACCCCTCAGTCTCCTCTTCTCCAAACTATAGAGACCCAGCTCCCTCAGTCTTTCCTCATAAGGGAGATACTCCACTCCCCTAATCATCTTCGTTGCCCTGCGCTGGACTCTCTCCAGCAGCTCCCTGTCCTTCTTGAACTGAGGGGCCCAGAACTGGACACAATACTCCAGATGCGGTCTCACCAGGGCAGAGTAGAGGGGAAGGAGGACCTCTCTCGACCTACTAACCACCCCCCTTCTAATACACCCCAGGATGCCATTAACCTTCTTAGCCACAAGGGCACAGTGTTGGCTCATGGTCAACCTGTTGTCCACTAGGACCCCCAGGTCCCTCTCCCCTACACTGCTCTCTAACAGGTCGTTCCCCAACCTATATTGGAAGCTGGGGTTGTTCCTGCCCAGATGCAGGACTCTACACTTTCCCTTGTTATATTTCATCAAGTTACTCCCTGCCCAACTCTCCAGCCTGTCCAGGTCTCGCTGGATGGCAGCACAGCCTTCTGGCGTATCAGCCACTCCTCCCAGCTTAGTGTCATCAGCAAACTTGCTGATAGTACACTCAATTCCCTCATCTAAATCATTGATGAATATATTAAATAATACTGGTCCCAGTACTGACCCTTGAGGCACTCCACTAGTTACAGGGCTCCAACTAGACTCAGCCCCATAGACTACAACTCTCTGGCTTCTCTCCTTCAGCCAGTTCACAGTCCACCTCACTACCTGATCATCCAGTCCACACTTCCTCATTTTAGCCGTGAGGATGCTGTGGGAGACTGTGTCAAATGCTTTGCTGAGGTCAAGGTAGACCACATCCACCGCTCTGCCATCATCCATCCACCGTGTTATTTCCTCATAAAAGGCTAAGAGATTGGTCAAACATGATTTCCCCCTGGTGAAGCCATGTTGACTGCCCCTCATAACCTTCTTATCCTTGATATGCCTTAAGATGGTACCAAGGATAAGGTGTTCCATCACTTTCCCAGGGATGGAGGTGAGGCTGACCGGTCTATAGTTACCCAGGTCCTCCTTCTTGCCCTTTTTGAAGACTGGAGTGACATTTGCTTTCCTCCAGTCCTCAGGCACCTCTCCCGTTTCCCAAGACTTGGTAAAGATGACGGAGAGTGGTCTAGCAATGACTTCCGCCAGTTCCCTCAGCACCCGCGGGTGCATCCCATCTGGACCCATGGATTTATGGATGTCCAGATTGCTCAACTGGTCTCTAACCCATTCCTCATTGACTAAGGCAAACCGCTCCGTCGACCTGACTTCATCTAAGGTCTCAGGGGTACAGGGCTCTTCAGGACTGCCCACAGCAGAGTAGACAGAGACAAAGAAGGCATTCAGTAACTCTGCCATCTCTTTATCTTCTGTCACCAGGGCACCCATCTCGTTCATCAGTGGGCCTACATTGCCTCTGGTGTTAGTTTTGTCTGCCATGTATTTGAAAAAGCTCTTTTTGCTGTCCTTGACCCTTCTTGCCAGGTTTAATTCTAAGGATGCCTTAGTCCTCCTAGCTGCCTTCCTACATCCTCTAGCAGCAGCCTTATATTCCTCCCAAGTGGCCAGCCCCTCCTTCCATGACCTGTAAACTCTCCTCTTCCACTTGAGCATACCCAGCAATTCCCTATTTAGCCATGCAGGTCTCTTGGCCCTCTTCCTTGACTTCCTACGTGTCGGGATGCTCCGATCTTGAGCACGGAAAAAGCAGTCCTTGAATGTCAACCAACTATCTTGGGCCCCTTTACCTTCAAACAGCCTTGCCCATGGGATTTCCCCTAGCAATTGCTTGAAAAGGCCAAAGTTTGCCCTGCTAAAGTCCAGGGTTGCAATTCTACTTGGTATTCTACTAGTCCTGCCACACAAGATCCTGAACTCCACCATCTCGTGGTCGCTGCAACCAAGGCAGCCCTCAACCCTTACTGCTTCGACCAGATCCTCCTTGTTAGTGAGGATGAGATCCAGCAGCGCTCCTCTCCTGGTTGGCTCATCCACCATTTGCAGGAGGAAGTTATCATCCATACACTGGAGGAACCTCCTGGACTGCGGCTGGGTTGCTGAGTGGTCCTTCCAGCAAACATCAGGGAAGTTAAAATCCCCCACGATGACCATGGCCTGTGACTGTGAGGCCGCTCTCAGCTGCCTGTAGAAGGCCTCGTCAACTTCCTCACCCTGATCTGGTGGTCTGTAACAGACACCTACAACAGTATCCCCCCTGCCAGCCTGCCCCTTAATTCTCACCCACAGACTCTCAACTCGCTCATCATCTGTCCCTGGACAGAACTCGGTGCATTGTAGTTCCTCCCGCATATAAAGAGCAACCCCACCACCCCTCCTGGCTGGCCTGTCTTTCCTGAAAAGGACATAGCCCTCCATGACTATATTCCAGTCATGTGAGCTGTCCCACCACGTCTCTGTAATTGCCACCAGATCATAGTCTCCTGACTTAACACAGGTTTCCAACTCCTCCTGCTTATTTCCCATGCTGTGCGCATTGGTGTACAGGCATTTCAGGGAGCCAGCTGAGCACACCGATTTCACCCTAGGATTGTAGGAGGCCTCCCAGTCTTCATTAATTCTGGAGCGCTGCCCCACTGGGGCAAGCCCAGCTACAAGCCCATCCCCCTTCAAATCTAGTTTAAAGCTCTCCAAATGAGCCCTGCTAATTCGTGCCCCAGCATCCTTTTGCCTCTGTGAGACAAACCTTTCCCACTTGTCATTGTCCAGACTGGTGCCCTATAAAACCAGCCGTTATTAAAGAATCCAAAGCCCTGCCTGTAGCACCAGTCTCGAAGCCAATTGTTCATGAACTGAATCTTCCCATTCCTTCCCACATCAGTGGAAGATGGAAGGAGAGAGGAGAAGATCACTTGAGCCCCAGACTCTCTCACCATCCGCCCCAAGGCCCTGTAGTCTTTCTTCATCCCCCTCAGACTGCGGGAAGCAGCTTCCTCCCCACCTGTCTAGAAGACCAGCAGCGGGTAGTAGTCTGTCGGGTGCACCAGGTTGGGGAGCACCCTAGTGATATCCCTGATCCGGGCTCCAGGCAGACTACACACTTCCCTAAGATGAGGGTCAACTCTGCATATCGGGCCCTCTGTTCCTCTCAGAAGGGAATCCCCTACTACAATGACCCTTCTTTCTTTCTTAACAGAGGCAGTCTTGAGGTGCAAAGTCGACTCCCTTTTCCTATGTGGCCTTGTGGGCTGGCCTTCCCCCACATTCTCACCTACCTCTCCTTCAAGATCCAGGGCCTCAAACCTATTACGGAGGGACACCTGGGGAAGCAGGGCAGGAAGGGGGGAGGGTTTCCCACGACACTGAACTGGAACTCGCTTCCAACCCTCGTCGTCTTTTTGGTCCCCTACCTCTGCGCAACAGCTACAGGGCAGGGGCTGTCTCGGGCCATCCCCCTCTGTGTGAGAAGGCAGGGGGTCCTTCCCCTTTTGGGGGGTATCTCCCTGGAACCGTTCCGACTGGCATGCCAGGGAGTTACTCCACCAGTCGATCTCCCTTTCACACTCCCTGATGGTCCTCAGTGTCTCAACCTCCTCCTTAAGTCTTGCCACCAGGCTAAGCAGATCTTCTACCTGCTCACACCTCACACAGGTGGAATGCTGTACTCCCTCCCCCGGCAGCAGCAGGCTCTGGCACTCCCTGCACCCAGAGACCTGAACAGCCACAGTTTGGGACGGGGTCTCTGTCTGAGTTGCTGTAGTCACCTTACTGCAAGCTCTCTTTCAGGAGGCAACCATATTGGTGCGCAGTCTGGGACACCAGCAACACGACCTGCTTGCTCCTCCCTGTGCCCGGTGGGCAGCGACCGGTCGCTGCTCTCTCAAAGGCTTTTTCAAGGCAAGCAGCAGGGGAGTGGTCGCCGTCACCGTGGGAACGCCCCCCGCCACGTCAGCCTCTCTCTCGCAAGGGCTGCTGGGGCTTCGGGGATCGGGAACCGCGATGTCTCTGCGCTATCCCCTCTGATTTTCCTAATCTCCGTTGACCCTCGCGTGGCTGAAGCTTGCCGGCTGTGGCTCTAGCTAGGCTAGCTCCGATCAGATGGATCGGAGACAGATCACTAGGGAGGAAAAAACAGTGATTTTAATCCTTTACAGCAAAGACCCAATCTCTGGAAACTACTGCAGGTATCTTTTCTGGCACTTAATACTTGAAACTGGTGTAAAGCAATCAAAGTAACTGGCCTTTTTCTGTTCTTCAAATTTAATTTAGTAAAATTACATAACAAGTTATGAAACTTCTCTGCTTATTTTTAAATGAGCAATACCTCTACAAATTAATTTCCAAGGTATATTCTTGTATCTGCATCAAAAGAAGCATGACCATCAGGTCAAAAGAAGTGATCCTGCCCCTCTACTCTGCTCTCATGAGACCTCATTTGGAGTACTGTGTACAGTTCTGGTGTCTTCAACATAAAAAGGACATGGAACTGTTGGAACAAGTCCAGAGGAGGGCCACAAGTATGATCAGGGGGCTGGAGCGCCTCCCGTATGAAGACAGGCTGAGAAAGTTGCAGCTGTTCAGCCTGGAGAAGAGAAGGCTGCATGGAGACCTCATGGCAGCCTTCCAGTATCTGAAGGGGGCCTACAAGGATGCTGGGGAGGGACTCGTCATTAGGGACTGTAGTGATAGGACAAGGGGTAATGGGTTCAAACTTAAACATGGGAAGTTTAAGTTACATATAAGGAAGAAGTTTTTTACTGTGCGGGTGGTGAGACACTGGAATAGGTTGCCCAAAGAAGTGGTAAATGCTCCGTCCCTGGTGGTGTTCAAGGCCGGGTTGGACAGAGCCTTGAGTGACATGGTTTAGTGCAAGATGTCCCTGCCCATGGCAAGGGGGTTGGAACTAGATGATCTTAAGGTCCTTTCCAACCCTAACTATTCTATGATTCTAGGATCTTATACCTCTTTACAGTACTGATCTGTGGATTTGCCAAACACTTTGTTAATTTTTTTCTTTTAAAATCACCTGCAGAAGAATGATAATTCATTCTCTTGTTTCTATTAAGCACACAGTGCTCATTTATGAAAGTGCACAACTTTGAGATCTGAACTTTTCATAGTTAGCTGAAATTTTAACAACTAAGAATTGTGTTTGGAGATGGTTGTGTAATTTTAAATGAATTAAGTTTTTTTTTTTTTTTCTGCATTTACTAGCCACAAGGGCAAATAATATATGTACTTCTTATTTGACAGGTACAGTGGAGATAACTTTTACACAACTATGAATACTTTGTTCAGGTAACTTGTAGACATAGAATGGAAGTTTCCAGGCTGTGACCTGTTTAGCAAGGCTGTTGAACATTCAAACCAGCATTCAACCCATAGCATAGAGGGGTAATTCCATGTCATTTTGGTTCCCTGCTATAAGAAAAATATAAGCCTGGTGCACTCAGCAGCCAGATGTTGGTTTTGCACTCAGTATCAGGACTGTGCACTAGGTTACCGCTTCCGATACAAGGGTGTGTTGCTTGAGTAAAATCTTATAACTAGGAACAAAATGTGTTTAAAATGTTCAGTCACTCTTATTACTTATAGTGTCAGTGCCACATAAAGGAAAACTTGGTCTTTAAATGTGAACAAAAGCTATTTCCCAGTGTTGTTTACTGGCAACTTAACAGGCCAGAAATCTTGATGATTTCTGGGCTACTGGAATCTTTTAATTACTTTGTTACAGCTATTTACTATTAAACTCCTAATCCCTGAGTATTTCTCCTATAAAACTAATTATGGATAACTTTAAAGGAAGATAAGAAAGAACATTAGTTTAAGATGTGACATTTCAAATATTTGCCATTTTAGAATCAAATTGTCATTTTGATTTTTTTTAATTTAGAATAAAATAATTATTTTCTAATGGAGTCATAAATCTGTTTGTAGAAGTGGTTATTTTTGCACTGGTACTGTGGTTCTCTGCAAAAATCAGTTGGATCAGTAGAACTTGAGTTTCATCAACTTGTAAACTCATTCCCTTTTTACATGTATGTAGCCAGTGTACATGTAGACATGCATGTGTTGGCTGTGTTCTGTAAAACTGCTTTTTTTTTTTCCCTAGTGGTTTTAATTATTGACTTGAACAAGATTTTTGAGTAAGTGGATTAATTAATGTAAAATATCTTGAAATATGCAAGCTTTTGTTTCCTTTTCACAGACTAATGTTCCAGTTTGATCTTTTATATTAAGAAACTTTTCACATACACATTGTGCTGTACTTAAACCCCAAGAATTCAGAAAGGGATTTAAGGCTGTAATACAGTACTGCAGAAGCCTGGGTGATGTGCCAGGAAGGTGTTTGGTGAAAGAAGCTGGATAGTGAAAGCATGTTATATATGCAGGTTGTGCTTAATGAAAAAGTAAGTACGTACCTGCAGGACTCTTAACAACGGAGCAGCTACTTACACTGTATTAATTGTTTGTTACCCACTTATGAACTATTTATGGTGTGCTCTTAGTATGGGACTGAAACAGCTAAAACTGCTCCAACTAAGTCATTCTAATTGATGCCACCATCAGCCTTTACTTTTCCACAAGGAGTTATTTCTGTCTCTTTTACAGGTACTTTTAACTGACTTATCCCAGGAGGAACTTCCTAAAAGACAGAGGCACTTTCTCCTTCGGTCTTTCGTTATAAGAATAAATGGACCCATGCACATTTTTATAGCTTTCTAATATCATTAAAACCAATGCCTTTTTTAGACTTCTATTTTTGATGTATATATCTTATTTGAAAAGCAACTTTATTTTGTGTCCTATGACTTAAAGTCCTTTTTTAAGTATTGAATGTTACCCTTAATCTAAAGCTGAGCTTTTGATGCCAGGTTGCAAACTTACTGGAATTATATTGCCTGTACTAAATATTTGTTTTTCCTGTGGTTTTTAGTAAGAATAAATCAGAAGAACCAAATAATTTCCTAATTAAAGATTATTGTGACTCTGTATATAAACAGATTTTTATACCTATTGCTGAAAACACCTGTACATTCTTCTGTTATCACTGTAAAGATAAATAAATTATTATAATCTAGCAGTTGAAAATTTGTTGCGTTGTGGATAGATTAAGCAAAGATTGTCCCTGCTTATATTTCAGTGTTTCTTTGGCCAGATACGGCATGACTTCACAGAGTTCTGCTTTGAGGTCAAGGTGAGACTATAAGGAAAGTGTCTTTGGTGCAGAATGCATCATGTGCCAAAACTTGGTCTTGTTTCTGTCTATCCAGACAAAGCAAGTAGGATGTCAGGGTGGCCTACAACACTGCAAAGATTTACATGAAGTGAGCTGGGTCTTTCACACTTAATCAGAAAACCCAGAAATAATTAAAAAACTGAACAGGTTTGCTTAACTTCCCTGGGGGCTTAAAGACTAAATTGCCTGGCAGGTCAGAGTAGTTCCAAGGTTAGAATAACATCTGCTTCTCCAGGTCTAGTAAGGTACTGTCCTGCATTGCAGCCCATGCTGGGAGAGCTTTGCTATAGCCTTTGGAGTCTCTCTTCTCTTTTCTGCACAAAGACGTAAAAGTGGGGAGACAGGTGATCTTACTGCAGGATTTCCTGGGATAGGTGTAGGCTAGGACACAATATTGTATTATATCAACCAACAGTATTAATAACTGGGGACTCAAACCCCTTCCCACTGCCATTTGAACCATTTCATAGAACTTGCACCAGGGCAGTGGTTGTCTGATTACGATAGGTCTCCCAGGCCACATTCATTATTTTTCCCAAATCACATTGGTCCTCTCCCTTAAGCTTTTGTACCTTTTTCCTTATATCTTCCATGGATTAACCTTTTATTAAATGGCCTAATTCTCTCCTTCCTTCCTCCAATTCAGGATCAATAGTAGTATATTTATGCATCGCCTCTTTTAATCTTTCCACAAATCCAGAAGGCAATTCATTTATATCTTGCCTTATTTCATTGCCCACAGCTTGTCTTAAAGGTACAATCACAGTTTCCCCTCATTTTCCCTAGTTCACAATGCTATAGAGCTAAATCCTCCATCCCCCTCTAATATCTCCCTTTCTGGTGCCTGTGCTTGTGCTTGTGCTTATGCTTGATTCTCATTGTCAATGCCTTCTGCCCCAGTATTCACAATACTCCTCCAAGGGGCTGCCATCGAATCCTAATCCTCCTTCTTTGGATTCCTCAAATGTTTAGCGCATAACTGTCCTATGCTGCACAAAGAGCAACAGCGTTTAAGCAAATTTTACTATCTATCTTTCTCCAAGGACAATACTAACAGGTCCTGTGGTGCAAGATTAAAACCACAATCCTTTCACCATTCCAGATGATTTCTCAAAGTGAAAAACATTTCCACATAAGCTACTTCATCCCACTTTCCTTCTCAAGAATAGCATCAATTGTAACAAAGTATTATAATTAATTGTGCTGTTCACAGGCCACATTTCCCCAAAATCCATTTGCACAACAGCCACCACTAATTACAGTATTTTACCAGAGTCTCCCTGTTGCAGAATGGCTCCAAGAGCAAGGCCATGGATCCTTAGAGGCCTTGTGCGAGCAAAGCAAAGTGTAGGCCTCACAGGTAACCGGAAACTGGACGTGGGAGGAGAATGTAAAGGAAGCTGTGTAGAACTAACCAATAATGTTGTGACTAGTAGGTGTGGCTAACACCACGAGGATATAAGCGATGCGTGCCATGAATAAAGTAGAAGCTTACTTATCACCCATATTGGGTTGGCGTGTCTTGCTTCTCCTCGCCGCTAACAAATGGCGCCCGAACAGGGATGTGGAATACAGGGCCCTGGATAACGGGGACCCGGATAACAGGGCCCCGGATAACGGGGACCCGGATAACAGGGCCCTGGGTAACAGGGACCCGGAACGGCGAGTGAGTGGCACCGGTGGCAGCGGCCGGGGAGCGCGGGCAGTGCTACTGTGGTGGCGTGACTGACCCGGGTGCTTAGACTGACCAAAAGGAGTCCACCACTGGGGCGAAGCAGATACAGCTGCATCGGGAGGACGATCCAGTATTGGACGATCTGGAGACTGAGGTTACAGGACGATCCAGAAGAGGATGATCCGGAAAAGGCCGGCCATGAAAATGGACCGAGAGGTAGCCCCTGATTTATTACAGCGCTTTTTATAAAAGCGGGGAATTAAGCCTGAGACTCTAAAGCAGCTAGCAGGTCTAGTGGCTGTAGGGAAGGCTAAGGGACTTTTTGTAGATCCTAATACAGTTTTTGAGGAGAGTGAGTGGCAAAAGTTTGGTGATGAACTATTTGACTCAATGCTTAATGATAATAAAACGGCAAAGAAACTCGGTAAGCCATGGAGAGAAGTAATAAATTGTATAAAAAGATACAAGGCGGAAAAGAAAACTGCCGCTGTAGCAACGGAGAAACTAGGAACAGACATCCCTGGTCGGCTGAAGCTGGGGGAAGATTACAACTCGTTTCCCCCAACTCGCGGGGCGCTCCCTGTGCTTGGAGCACAGGGTTTTTTCTCCCCCTCCTTCTTCATCAGAAGGTGCAGCGGAGGAGGTGCAACTCCCTGCTCCCCCACCACCCCAGTTGAGTTCCGAAAAGCAGAGGGATTTCGAAAGTAGGGACTTTGAAAAGGACAGAGAAAGTATATTAGAAGGGATACGCACGATGAATGTCGAGGAAGCTGAAAGGAAGAGGGTGGTGCCTTGGCGCCGGATCGATTGGGGCGCCATTTTGAAGCACGCAGTAGAAAATAGAGATTATGTGCTAGCGGGAGGTTTGGAGGAACTGCGAGCCTTTTCAACCCATTATGCCCTAGACTGGAAATTTTTACCTCAGTTACAGAGGAGCCAGGTCTGCAGATGGCCACATACCGAACGAGAGACATCTGACAAGAAAGACATAGCTGCGAACAAAGGAGACCCTGAGTTCGACCCAGGATCAGACCCCGAGTCCCCTGAATCTGAGCCAGATTTGTATCCTCTGCTTCCAGACTCTGACTCTTCGTCTCCCGGGTCGGTCTGCTCAGCTCATCAGCAACTACTCACTGGCCCTGGAGATGCTCAGCTGCAACAATTGATGAAAAAGCTTGAAGCCCTTGAGACTCAGATTGACACATCTCCATTGGCGCCTCCACCTTATCCTCTGTAAAACCCCTTCCTTAAAGAAGGCAAACAGGGGGAGGGGGTGGGCGAGGTATCGGGGGGGCACAAATCCTGTGTACTGTTGGCATGGGTTAATCAAGGATGCAATTATTACTGGTGAATTTTCTGCAATGGGCCTCCCTGCATATCCTGTGTTTACTACACAGCAGGGGGCTAAAGAGTGGGAAGCTTTTGATCTCAATATAGTTAAGGAGGACTGACAAGCAGTGACCACGTATGGGTTAAAATCCTCTTATACTCAAGCAGTATATGTTATGATTTTTTCTTGCGATTGACAGGGGGAGCCCATACAGTTTCTCTGGGATACTCATGTACTAGAAGTTGGTAAAAATAAGTATGTCCAGGTTTCTATCACCCTTTGGAGGCCTTTGTAGATACTGCTGACCACTTCTTCCAGCACAGGCTGGCCACCTGTGTCGGAATGAGTGTGCATTTTGGTCAGTATTAAAGCCTAAGCCTCATACGATGTGGGGGAGGCAGAGCCTCTGCGGGGACGCCCGCTAAGTTTGAGCCTGCGACCTCGCACTGCAATGATGCTTCTCGGAGCTGGTTTGCCATTAGTCTCCACAGGGTCCTTGTGCCACGTTCTGTATGTGGAACTGTAGTGGGAGTAATGATCGTCTGGATTTTGTGCTTCAAATATTGTAGTTGTGTGGAGTGTGCTTGTGGGATCCCATACGCGTGTGTGTGTGTGTATTTGTTGAGGGCAATCGGTGTTTTGTGTATTGTTGGGTTCATGTAAAAGTTTTTAACGGGTAGCTGTTTAACATTTCGGGCATGAAAGGGTTAATGTAAAAGTGCAGCTGCTGGCAGGTAGTTATGGTTGCTGATGAAGCAGGCAGGTGGCTGTAGCTGCTGCCCAGCAGGCTGGCTTATGCAGGGATCAAAAAAAAAAAAAGGGGGGGAGGAGAGAGCAATGATGCTGCAAATATGCAGTTTAACCTGTCTACTTCTCAAGAACTGATAACCTGGGGGAGGGGATATATTTTTGTCCTCCTGCCTACAGGTCCATGGTGACTGCCTGCAATGTTTGTCAAGCCTTGCCATGAGCTGGACAGACAAATGGAAAAACCTGATGCCTCAGCTACAGGAGCTGAGCGTGAATACCCCAAGCAGAATGAGATAGAGGAAGAGAAAAACGAATGATTGCAAAACATCACTTGGGGGCAACTGAAAAGTAACATCCTAAATACGTGTGCTTGTAAAGTAGCTATTATTAGAGGTTGTGATTTTGTGTATAAACCCACCTGTATTTACTAGCTAGTTGCTAATAAGAAACTACGCCTTGTATTGTATAGATTTGTCACTTGTAAAAGAGATGTTAGAGTATGGAAATTTGCAGTAGCTGCTAGAAAAGGCTAAGGCAAAAGCTAGAAAGCGTTTAATACAATGGTAGTGTTATAAAGCAGGTGATGGAACTAATTAAGAGGGTGGGAGAATTCCACAGGTAAGAAATTTCTTTGCCTAGTCCCTTGCTGCCACCAGCATCTTCAACATGCTGCTGCACCCTGTAATAGTTACTCTGTTAATGTAAATTTGTGTGTGCATTGCTGTAGTAGTGGCTTGTTACTGGATATAAAACAAAAGGGGGGAGATGTGGAGACAGTGTTCTCATGGGAGAATGGATAATTGGTACATAAACTCTGAATAATCCTGAAAGATACAGCAAGGCCATGAGAGGCCCAAAGAAGCTTAAGCAAGAAAGATAAGAGGCTGGAATTCACCAAGTTAATGAGAACTGTGGACTGTTGGCAAGCTTTCAAGGTTGAGTTCTCACACCTGTGTTTAACCAGTTATATGTTAGTCACTAAGGGTCTTCAAGGCATGTATCCAATCATAATATGCCAAATCACTGTAAGTGCTTCAGCCGGGGCTTTGGCTCAGTTAAACAAGCTGGCTTGCTAAGCAGACAAAT